CACATGATGACCCACACAGGAGAGAAACCTCACAGCTGCTCAGTGTGCGATGAAAGATTTCGGAACAGGTCGGCTCTGAAGTCACACATAATTACTCATTCAAGAGACAACCGGCTGTAGTGGTTCTGTTTGTATACAAAAGGTAAATCTGACACACCACATGGCACATAACGCAGAGGAAGAAATATGGTGCTTTTTTCCTATCTTTATTCAAAACCATGTTTTAATTTGAGAGCATTACTTATTGATTCCACGTTCAGATGTTGAATTGTTTCCCTCAAAACCCTGATCTCACACACAATTAGCCCCCGCTTGCGATCAGTGACACAATAAACCTCGATCGCTCTGAGAGATCCATGCTTTGTTTAAGGTGACGCCTCCTCCCCACGTTGGCAGGGAGTTGAGTACTGTCTTTAGTTTGATCCAGCAGACTAATTGAGTTTTTATTTTCTAGTTATTGTTGGTTTTCTAGAGGGGTACGGGGCACGTTCACCTGGAAGAAAATGTACATTTTAAAGTTAAATGCATCTTTGTGCTCTTGTTAACAATTTTGTTATCTTCTTTTAGCGGTGGTGGAATGTAACTTGTAACAATGTAAATTGTAAATTGTTTAAGATAAGTAAATGAAGTAACCTTGGATTGAATTACCTGTTTTGTTGTTGTCAAATATTGTCAATATTTCCAGCTGATAACGCCGTTCCAAGGTTAACATTGTTAGCTCTGTCAGCACTGTTGTGTGGACTGTTGCACCCTTGTTGCCATATTGAGAGCCGTGCGGAGGCGATCCTTCAATCATAAATTTGTTCTGAGTTTGTAATTCAGCAGCTTAAATTTTTTTTTTTTAATAGTTTGGTTTTCTACGTAATTCACACTGTTTTCATCCTGTGGCTACAGTTTGTTAAATGTGTGTGATAGTACTGATTTGTATTGTTTAAATAACTTGATATCTGATTGAATAATAAAGGTATTCACTTAGTAAATTGTTCCAGCTGTCAACATGTTTATGCAAGGTGGTAAAAGTTCAATTACGGGGGAACCAGCTCCCTTATAAGAGACCGTAGCTCGACTGAACATAACAAAAGGTTAAGTTTGGCATCTCCAAAAAGTGTTAAACTATCGACTCTGAATATCACGATGTTAAGTGACAGCAAAGCTGTTATCAGACATCATGAGAAAACCCCAAAACCAGTCTAGACTGAAGCCTCCACCAGTCATGTGACTCTCACCTGGCAGCTCATAGCGGTCTGTTGAGAGTCTCAGCAGATGGAGTTCTCAGGATGCTGACTTCTATTTTTTACCCTTTACAAAACCAAAAACATGAGAAAAAGCTTACGGACTGAATTACACAGCCTGTTAATCTGCTATAGCGTTAGCTGCAAGAATTAGCACGTGTTGCTAACGAGTTTACTACTACAGTAGTAACCAGTGGTGAAGGAAGTATTTACATCTTTTACTTACCTAGAAATACTAATACTGTTACAAGTGAAAGTTCTTAAGGATTAACATCAACATCTACTTGAGGTTAATTTCTAAATACTATATTGTATTATAATTATTGATGCATTAACGTGTTCACCACTTTAATGCTGAAGTGTCTTAAAGCTGCATTCTCTCTAGTGTCCACCAGGGGGCGACTCCTCTGGTTGTATAGAAGTCTATGAGAAAATGACTCTACTTCTCTCTTGATTTATTACCTCAGTAAACATTGTAAACATGAGTTTATGGTCTCAATCTCTAGTTTCAAGTCTTCTTCAATACAGCATGATGTTCATTTAGTACATTATGGTCCATTTAGAGTCACACAGACCATAAAGCAAGCTAGGTCTATAAAGAATTATTAAACTGTTAAAAAGCGAAATATAACCAAACGTTTGAATCTACATTGAATAAATATTGTTATTAGACAGTTCCATTGATATTGCAAACGAGTGAATTATCCATTTCTACTGGAGGCAGCGTTGATTAATAATTAATATTCAGTATCGTCTTCTCCTCTGAGAAGAAGTGCTTTAAAGTTTTGATCTGTTCCTGTTTTCGTCGCTGTGCCTTCAAACTTGTTTGATGTTTTGATGTTTAACTCTTTACTTACCTGTGATGTGTCTTCTCTCTATTACTGTCACACATACCAAAGAATTAATCAATTGATTGATTAGTTTTATGTGCTTGTTTATAGTTTTTATAGTTCATGATTTGTTGTTTTACCAACCATAATGGAGATGGGATTGCCTTAAGCTTTTTTTGGTGTCTCAAATTACTTAACATCATCACATTGTTAAGTAAGTCATAAGAGATTTATTGAATGAACTCATGTTCATGTGACCGTGGTGTAGGTCCTTTATAGTTGCACTTATTGTATTCATATTAGTTTGTTTCTGTACTTTGCTCTGGTTTATGCTCTTAGATGCTTGTTTAAAAAAAGGAGATGCACTTCTGACTTTCTTGTCTCATGGCGGAACACTTTGTCATCTCGTTGTATGTTGCCATATTACATCTCTGCTCCACACATGCTCTGGTGTCTCTGCCAGGCAGCGTGTGTCTCACTTTAGGCCAGAAAACAGGGTTCGACAGGTGGTTCGGGCAACAGTCCTACTGAAGCTGTGCTCTGTGTCCTCAACCTGCTGATGCCGTCCTGGCGTGACGGGTGTTGTCTCAGCTGGAGTTGGTCTCTCTGGGGCCTGCTCCATGGGTTCAGGCTCTGGTTCAGGTTCTGGGGGGTTTGCTGGTTTCTCAGAATCGGAGGGATTCCAGGGATATAAATTAGACTCTTAGAATTCTACTGGGCCTTTAAAGGGCTCTGGCTTTGATACATTACCTCCCGTCTTGGTTTTAGTGCGGGCCTTCTTTGAGTCAATGTTTAACTCATCATATGCTCATTACATCACAGCTTCCACAGTCTCACTAAACAACACATCACTTCATCACTGCAGAGTCATCTATCAACGCTACATCGAGATAAACTCACACGCATGCATGTTGTGAAGGTCCGATGCAGAAAGGGTTGGAGAGAGACAGAATATCACATAAATCAAAAGTGTATGGGAATCCAATGCTTTCCTGTCAGCCAATCACATTGCTCCTTTCAGAAGTGTTTTAAGTTGGTGCCAAATGGCACCACTAACCACTAAAGAAGGTTTGCTTTTGATCAATGACGCCTGTCAGAAAACAAGAGGTGAGGAAAAACAAGTAGTTATAAACAACACAAGAACTAATACAAATGCAAATGTTTACAAGGAGTGGAACGCACCTCTATAAGGAACTCAAAATGGGTGTTTTCTCGGGAAGTTGATCTTAACAGTTACTGAATGAACACTGTCATGAAGTTGTTGCTCCTGCACTGATATGAATGAAGTGTACCATCTCCTGTCTGACGTGGTGAAAGGTGCTGGCTCAGAGGCCTACTTCCTGTCAGTCCTTCAGCGCCTTCTGCTCATCAGGAACGACTATTACATCAGGTCAGTTCTGTTTGATCACTGGCCTTTGTTCACTGATCACCATGTGAGGCTTTTTTTTGCTTGTTTTTAAGATTAGATGTGAAACACCTCGTGCAGCACTCTGAACATATTTGACTTACAGGAAGTAGTAATTGCCTCTGTGGGTTTGTTTGTTTGGCTTTGACAACATACAAGTAAAAGCCTGGCAGACATTTGTTGTGTACATTTATCCTCCCAAAAGTAAGAGAAGGAAGCCAAACTTGACCAACTTTAATACTACCGTACCTTTTTATCATTTACTCAGAGCTGTTGTCTGCGAAAGCAACATTTATTAGCTCGGCCCTCTTATTCGTTAATTCAATTATACTTTTGAAAAATATTATGGTCCTGCAGTCAGAAGTCCCAAACACATCGTCACATGATCCCACCTGAAGCAGGGTGTAAATACAGAGTACTCCTGCCTGTACAGGGAAGTGCCCTGCCAAGCTGCAATCAGTTTGTCATCAAGCTTTTTTTTCTTTTTTTATTATACTAAATTATCTTTATCCCGTTAAGGATATGGTTTGACCCATCCCTGTATCAGGGAGCAGTGGGCTGCCCATGACAGGCGCCCGGGGAGCCGCTGGGGGGTCAGTGTCTTGCTCAAGGACACTTCGACTCAGAACACGTCCCAGCCAAGGATTGGACCGTCAAGTGAGCTAGTCTTCCAATTTTAAGTTTGTCTCTGATCTTGTCTATTACACACAAAATACCTGTGAAAGTAAACTGCTTTGCATTGTGAAAGTGGCCTCCTGCTTCATGTATAAATTGTTGAGGTGACAAGCCTCCAATTATATAACAAATATAACAAATATATATATATATATTACCTCATTTTAGATACAAAAATAAACTATAATTGACTGAAATCCTAAATCATTTAAAACCTGTCATAGGTGTCGAGACTGCGGAAAACTTCCGATGAGCCCCTGAACGCAGCATAAGTTTCTTGTCTGTTGAGAGAGAAATGAAACTTAAAAGACTCGTTCTGCTTTAGGGACCGTCGTCAAATGAGTTACTTAATCAAGACAGAAAAACGTAATTAACTGGCGATATTTTAACCAAAACTCTGTCAAAGATGATTTAAATGTGAAGTCAGGTTTTATGAACCAACACTGCAGCTTAGATACAGTTTACGTGGAGAAATAAGCACCGACTTCAGAGAAGTGGGTGAACTTGTTGACGCTCCCTTGTGGTTACATACGGGACGTTACGGTGTTTATAACGAACGTTTCCTCAATGTTTGCGACAGACGGACCGAGTCAACCTGAAACTGAGAAGGTAAGAAACAAGAAAACTTATGTTTTACATTTAGTGCAGATTATTAAAAGCTGAGCAACGTCGTAAACACAACTCTGATTTTATTATTATTACTTTGAATGATAAAAATCACCTGTTTGTGTGACTTAAAGAAACGTCAAACTTACTGAAATTATCTCAGATAAAAGTATATTTTATTGATTTGAAAATAACAAATCATAGTATATGTAATACAATAATACTATGTATTGATACTAACTATAATGGGTTGATGTATTACAGACTAACTCAGTGTCATAATTACTTTATGATAGTGGCATCATGCACAGTATGAAAAACTGTGCATGATGCCACACATGCACAGTTACTGTCTTAAGTAATTAAAGCTTGTACAAAGATGAAGACTTGTACTGGTCAACATGTCTCTCATTGCCCCTCCCTTACTGACTGAACAGACTGACTCGGACGTGCAGGACGTAACTGCTGTGGTTTTTACTTCCAGAGACTGATAACAGATAACAGGGGACCAGGGACTCCCCTGAGGAAGAGAGTCCCCTAAAGATGGAGGAGGGTGCAGGAAACCCCCACAGCACCGCTGGATCCAACAAGATGGAGGATGTGGTGACCAAAAAACGCAGGAAAAGAAATAAGGTAGAAATGCACGAGAACAGATTTCAGAGCATGAGATGATTAAAAACCAGATCCTCAGTTTAAGATCACGTTTGTGTTCCAGGAACGAGGGCGAGGCAGCTCCAGCAGGAAGAACAAAGACAAAGAGAGGAGGAAGAAGAGAAGTCAAGGAAGAAGGAAGAGCGTCTCCAGCGTTAAAGAGGATGCTGAGTGGAAAAGTGAAGGAGAGATGGAGGTGGTGGAGACCACAGGCAGCCAGACGGAGGAGAGTGTCCCCGCAGGAGCTGAAGACAGCGTGCAAACTGTGGGAGAACAACGGCACGAAGACGCCAAGATGGTGCCGGCTCAGACTCAGACGAGGAAACACAAAGGTGCAGAAAAATACACACAAACTCCAGCTGTTTTTCAGAGCAACAAGGAAACGCAGACAGACGTCTCTGGTGCAAAACGAGGCGACGAAGAGACGAAGAAGAACGAGGCCGAGACGCAGCTGAAGCGAGACAAACGCACTGAGGTCAAAGTGAAGGACGCCGCTCAGACGCCGGTAAAGCAGAACGAACGTCCAGACGACGGCGGAGCGTCTTCGGATTCAGCCAAGGACCGAAACCCAGAGACAGAGTCCAAGTCCAAAGAGGAGAATCCAACAGCTGGAGTCTCGGGCGAAGCCGGAAAAGATGCCAAAGGGAAGTCTTACGCCAAAGCTGTGTCTGAGGGAGGAGGTCAGGAAGCCTCCAGACCTGCAGATAAAAACTCTCAACCAACACAAAGCTCTCGGTAAGACCGGTGGTACAGGTTGTTTAATTTACTAACAAGCATCGGTCGATACTGAAAGACACTTTTTCAAAACTCTTTATTAGCAAACATGCATCTTACAGTTAATCTCAGTATGAAGTATGCGGAGCATGAATGAGAAAAATAGAATAGAATATGTGTGAAATAAAAAAATGATTCTAGTTTGGTTTAAAGTTAAAGTTTGTTAAAGTTTGGTCCACAAAGACTTCTGTTCCACTGACTGTGAAGAGTTTTTATGACGTGACTTCAGTTTTACAGCTACATTAAATACTGATTGATCCTCTGATAAACGTGTTTTCTTCTCTCTCATCAGCGACCGAAGCCCAGTGACAGCTCCGTCTTCTGCTCCCACCTTCACCTTCCACATCTACGCTGTGCTGGACAAAAAGTTTCGCTTCACCCAAGACCACGACACGCTTCTGCTGTGTTCCGACGGATGGTTTTTACCCTTTAAGATGACATATTTCGTGTGAGTATTGACAGTTTGAGCTTTCACACACAGAAATGGTCATTTTGTCTCCAGGACGACTTTGAATTTAAAGTTCTGACTCTCAGCTTTCATGTCAGGGTGTTTGTGTTCACATCAGATGAACAGTGTAGATCCTGTAGCCTTTTTCATCCTCACAGTGACTTAAAAGTAGTGGTGGTATAGCTACAGTGTGTTTTAATTTCTTGGGGAACGTTCCTGTTTCAACATGACAGTTACAAAATAGGAGATGGACACAGATCCCGACATTCAGCAGCAGTTTATAACATGTCTGCAAATGGGCAAAAAATTGAATAAGGGTTAGTATTAATCAATTAGTATTTTTTTAAAGAAAAAAGTCAAAATTCTGTGATTCCAGCTTCTTAAATGTGAGTTTCTGGTTTCTTTCCTCCTCTGTGAGAGTAAACTGAATATTTATAGACATTTTATAGACCAGACAACTAATCGATTATTCAAGAAATAATGAGTTCTGATGAGTTAAAGTCGATGCTTCATGTGTTAAAGCTGCATTCTCTCTAGTGTCCACCAGGGGGCGACTCCTCTGGTTGTATAGAAGTCTATGAGAAAATGACTCTACTTCTCTCTTGATTTATTACCTCAGTAAACATTGTAAACATGAGTTTATGGTCTCAATCTCTAGTTTCAAGTCTTCTTCAATACAGCATGATGTTCATTTAGTACATTATGGTCCATTTAGAGTCACACAGACCATAAAGCAGGGGATGCTTTAGGGCGGGGCTACACGGTGATTGACAGGTTACCATTTACCAGAGACGTATACAGCGTCTCTACGTCACTCCTCAGTCCAGATATGGTCACTTCCTGTTCTTGTGATGTCTTGATGTCAGGTCTTGTGTCTGACTTGGTTTAAAGCCCTGTAGACTCCCTGGTTGTCTTGATTGTATATTCAGGATCAATGTCCCGACCGTGTGTGGCTACACCTCCTACACTGTCATCGATATTAACAAATGTTCCTTATTTTGACTTTAGTGGACTAAAACGTGGAGGGTATCTGGTAGAAGCAAGTCTTACCGTTGAAGAAAAGGACTTGAGGAGAGGCGAATGGTGGACTTATTGGTACGGAGTAAAGCAACGGCACAAAGAGATTTCAGGAATTATCACGAGACACGTTAAAATTCCATTCGATCGCAACATTAAAGGTAAGACAAGCAAGTAATTTACCGTCAGCACGTCAACACACAACTGTAGGTCTGAGTCTTGAACATGAACCGGCCCGTGTTTCTTCTAGAGGTGCACCTTTACGAAGGATTCATCACTCGTGAGGACACAAGTTTTTGGCAAAGTGGCCGTAGCATGTTCGGCTTCCAGAAATCAAAAGGTGACGAGGTATCAGACGCCTGGCAGGCCTCAGCGAGGACTCTGCTGGAAAGAATCTTCCAGAAGTGGTCCCCGTCAGACAAACAGAGCACCGAGAGCTTGTGTGACAGCTTGACGCATTTTACGCAGAGTCTCGGTTCTGCACCCACGACGATGACATTCCCAGACGGTTCACGTCCTCCCATGGTCATAGTAGGTGCAACAAGAAGAAGTCGTTTTATAGTGAATCCAAAATTCCACCCGTAACCACATGTTTTTATTTTATTCACAGACATCAGAGCTGATTGCAGAGTCTTTGGTTCAGATGTTAAAAGGAGAGCCGAAGGAGAAACTCCCCGGCGGCTGGAGGAGCAGCGGTCCTCTCGCTCAGGGCCTGTCCGTGTTCATGGTCACCACAAACTGTAGCATCAACCTTGGGCTGAAAGGCTGGTCTGAGCTGTGTCTCCTGGTGTCCTCAGACACCGTAATGGACAAGACAAACCTGGACGGGATGCTCAGTTCTTTCCCACAACTACAATTGTGAGTCTAGCAAAAGCTTCAGAAAGGAGGTCCACTGACTTACATCCTGAAGGCGCTCATGAGTAGGGACGGTATCGTTAGGATCCATACTGCTTATCGGTTCGGTACCTTATCGATACTCTTACTGAACCGATAACTCTGGCCCGCATCGATACTCCGGGTTTTCTCTGCTGTGTAATCGGTTCCCGTTAAGAATGGAGTTTCAGGGTCCATCCCTACTCACGATCTTCATCTGAGGCGTTGATGTATGACCTTGTGTAACACCGTCTCACTCTCCTCTGTCGTCCCGTCAGCGTCGTGTTGGGTCTGATGAACCGCTGTGCGCAGCAGAGGGTGTCGGAGCTCGTCCTGCTCGTTCCTCTGCTCTTCAGGCTCAGACAGCCGGGAGGCGACGCAGCGAGACTGGGTCCAGCTGTGGAGGAGGAGAACTGGTCAGGACTTCAAAAGGTCCAATTCTACGGTTTTAGGGAGAACATACAGTCCAGCCCTGACAAGAGAAAGTGAGTTTGTCTCAAAGCAACCTTTCCAATAGAGAAATAGTATTGTCTTTTTGTTGAGGGAAACGGTGTGGAGCTAATTTCCGTTACCTCTTCCATAAAATACGTCATCTCTGCAGAGCGGCATACTCATTCAGTAACACTTTTCACAGGAGAGTGCTGAGTTTGATCGAGACACGCTTACCTTCGGCTAAAGAGACGCCTCTGCTCCTGATGAGCTGGTCCTCTCTGGTCGCTTTTGAGGATCTTCCTGAGTTTTCAGACCTGACGGGGATACCTGCAGAACAGCTGATCCAGAGTCTGTTTTACAGACTGAGAAAATGTGGCGAGTCGAGGGACAACAACAGAGCAGAGGAGAATGCAAAGGTGGGACAGAAAATACACATATGACAAATATTCAAAGTATGCTTCGTTTTATCTTTAAAATGATCCTTTATGGTGTTTTTTTCTACGTGCAGCACGCTCAGAGAACCCTGACCCACATACTGCTGCAGGTCGACAGAGAGAAGGACAGGTGAGGACGTCTGAAACATCCCCTCTGATGCACCGTGCTGTTGGTTTGCTCCCTGTAACTCTTTGCTTCGTGTCTGCAGAATGATGGAAGGTGAACACATCGAGCCAGCCTTCATGAGCAGCATCGAAGTGTTGAACTACACGTGTCCACTCGTGCGACTCGTCCAGTGGTACGAGGCCGCGGTCCTCTCCTACCAGCTGGTGGTGAAACTGGCAGAGATGTTGGCTGCCAAGCTGAGGAAAGAGGTAATAGTCTGTTAATCGTGTGCTGCTTCAGCCTCATTGTGGGACTTTAACTTATTCCTTTTTGTGTCTTTTAGTTGTCAGACGGGGACTTTGAGACCGTAAAGCAGAAACTCCTGGAGGATCTAAAGCCAGCGCAGCAGCGAATGAGAGAGTGGAGAGATGAGCTGCTGCAGAAACCTCTCGTGACGCCGTCAAAATCTCTCAGCTATCCAAAGGAAATTGAGGTACGCAGTCCGAATATTCACCAGCAGTTTATGTTTTTATTCCGTTGACTTTGACTTCTGGTTTACAAGCTTGAACAGGAAGTTTTCGTCTCTATTTAAGGCACATCGTAAAAATATGTGTGAACCCCGTTCACTCTGATTTCATGTACTCAAACCACAGACTGTATATAAGACGTGGACGTAGTCATCGTGACGTCACTCATTGGTTTGTGGACTGATGTTTTGAAGCCTTGAATTCGCCATGTTGTTTTTTGCAACCAATAAACAGGATTTTTACCATATTTTTAATACGGAGGAGTGATGTAGAGACGCCGTATATGAATTGACCTCATTTTTTTATGAAAACAAAAGGAACATGGCGACCATGTTTATTTCATGATGATGTAATAACTGTGTTGAATCAGATGTGGGATGCGCTGCTGAAGGCCGACTGCTCTCTTGAAGAAGTTTCCTCCGGTTGGACGTCGAGCCTGAAAAGAGACCTGAAGAAGAGGATCTCCCAGGTCAGCCACCGTTTATTGATCAGTGTAAAATAGACATTATTGTTGTTTTAGTGACGTCTGAGGTAGAATACAGGAGTCTAGTGCCAGCAGGTAAATGCTGCCCTTCTCCAGCACGTCTCAACTGGTTTCTTTGCAGGCCAGTGAGGAGGATAAAGTTCTGATCTGCTGCCTTCAGTCGTCCTCAGCAGCTATTAGGAAAAGCGACGCTGTTGTACAGACGTGTTTCGACGAGCTGTGTCAGTCTGCTATCAAGAACATCTGCCAGGTACATATAAATATAACCATATATACATGTCTAATAATAATACATCCTCCTTTAAGGGGAGACACTACAAGTGAATAATGTAAGAAAGTTAACTAACAGATATCACCATGAAACTTCACCACTTGATTACTGAGATTAAGACGATTGTTTTTTGTATTACAAGTTTTCTGAAATGTTATTTTCTAAATATGCAAATTAGGCATTGTGTAATGGTAACCTTTGGGGAATTTAGGAGAAGTCTACAGACGCAAATAGAGAAAGTAGTAAAATACACAACTAAATGTGTATTTTGGATGTTTTCTTTCCATTATTCTGAAAGACGATGTGTTATGGAAGAAAAATGGACCAAAATCTAGAAATTGAATTGGGTTATTTTAATAATGAAATAAAGATAAAGCTAAATAAATGATGCTACATTCATGTGTTCAGAGAGGGCTGGAGGGAGACCTGATGAGGAAGATGAAGGACCCTCCTGATGTTGTCATGTCTGCTGTTGTGGTTGAATCAGCAGCTCGATTCAGAGACAACTCTGTCGTCCAGCTGCTCGATCCTCAGTCCGCCATCAACCACCTGCTGTCCTACAGTACTTCTTTCATTCATTATTTTATCTATTCATTTATCGTCTTGTTTCCTTGAGGTTAACAGCTTGTAATGCTCACGATGTCGTTGTTTTCCAGGTGATTGGACGTCGATCCGGGTGGATGACACTGCAGGGCAGGTCGTCCAGAGCTGTCTGTCCGCACTGCAGTCTCTGGTGGACTCTCTGCTGCAGGGACACGTGCCCCTGGGACACCTGCAGACCTGCCTGAAATATAAGAAGGAGTTCAAGAGGCTTCATCAGCAGTGTAAGAGCATTACCGTCACAGAATAAGTCTTCCGTGATTACTAAATTAAACGGTGTTATTTAATAACGGCTGCATCGTGTCGTCCACAGACAAGAAAAACACCAAAAGTGAGCCGGTTCCCGTCGATGCAGACGCTGTTTTGTCTCAGAGAGAGATGGATTTAAACTCTTTCATGCAGCGGAGAGAGAAAATGGAGACGCTGATAAAGATGATAGCAAAGGTTACAGAAAGCATCACAGGTGAGTAATGAGAAACCCTTTGCCCACTTAGATTCTGTTAAAGGGCCAGTGTGTAGGATTTAGTGCTATCTAGAGCTGCGGTGCGGTAAATCGAGCCACCGAGTGCAAAACCGTGGTAACGCCGTCACAAAAGTACACCGGGATGAATCTGAACTACTGATTTGCTGACGTTAGCAGAGGTTGCATTGACTTGCATGGTGCGTTCAAGCTCTGCTCAGAAAAATGAGTATTGGGCGAAGGTAAATTCTAAAGCTTGAAAATTGAAAGACAATAAATTGTCATCTTGAATTATTGCTCAGCCCTACCTTTAGGTAAGTGTTTGCTTTGTCCGTTCTGGGCTCCCGTAGAAACATGGCGATGCAACATGGCGGACTTCGCCTCCCGCTCCCTATGTAGATATGAAGGTCTTATTCTAAGCTATCTATAATTATTTATAATGAAAACATAGTTATGAATATTATATTTAATTCAATAAACCCCTGGATTGCTACACACTGGTGAGAGACCTTTAAGTGAGAGAACTTTGTTGTGTTTTGTGGGTTTATGGGCGGTTTTCTTCAGTAACCCGGTTCTTATGTATCCAGTTCCTGAGATGTCTGCTCTGGAGAAGCAGCACAGTGCAGATCTCCAGCGGATGAGCCTGAGCGAACTGGTGCTGGTTCAGTCCTTTGATGCTGAGGGGAAGCTGGGGAAGCCGGGCCCCCCCCATGTCCTCTGGTATAAAACCAGTATGGATGTCCTGAAGATGTCCGGTGAGATGCTCAAACTGTATCACAGCAACCTGATCTTGTCCCGCTGGGTCGAGGGGGCCGCGTCTTTGGCGTCAAGGAGGCAAAGCGGCTCGTCTCCTCTTCCAGTCAGCCTAACGCAGATCTGTGAAAACATCTGGAAGCCGCTGCTGACAGACTTCTGTGAACTCGGCGTCGGCTTCGCGAACGCGAACATCACTTTCAAGCAGCTGGATCAGGTTTTGGAGGATTCTGGCGACCAGGGAGACGGGAAGCTGCTGAAGCGGGAGCTGAGTCTGATGTCCGAGACGGTTTGCAAGTCAGGACGGTCCAAACCCGAGGAGAGCTGGGTGGAGCGGAGACTGGCTCAGATCCAGGAGTATCGACAGCTGCACGAGGCAGCGGCTGCAGCCGGTGCGATGCTGAAGATCGCTGAAAAAATGAAGCTTTCGGGGAACTTCACAGAAATCGACACTCTGAGCCAGCTGGTAAGTCTCGTGATCTGTTGACTTACAAAGTTGTTGCCAGAAGAAAACATACTCTTCTTATTCATGTTTATCTTTATTTTAATTTAAGGACTTTTCACAAATAGTGAATGAATAGCAGGAGGTGAAGAGTGACATTTGGTGGGTCGCAGGAGATTTTATTTGGGTCGCCGGATACATTTTCAGAATTTCTTCCATAGTCTTTTATTTCACATTTATATCATCAGTTCACCTTTGAGCCTCATGAGTTCGTATTGTTCTGATAAGTTTAGTCTACTTCTAACAATGAGTCTGATATGAGAGGCTAACGTTCGTTCTGTTTGTTTATCTGATGAGAGAAACAATAACTCTGATGAATGCATTCCAATCAGGAGAGAGTTCATTACAGTAAAATATTAAACGTGTGTATTTTGTGTTTTCAATAACACAAAATGATTTCGTGATTTTCAAACGAAAATCTCTTCAATATTCAAGATAATGTAAAGTGATGTGGAAATGTTTCTCTTGGTATTCTCTTGAAGAAAATGTTTAATCTTTGAATCCTGAAAACAGGAAGAAGACACATTTAAGCAGAGGGTCCTGGGGTCCCTCAGCGACGAGCTGTTTCGTGCCAAAAGACGACTCTCCACCGTCAAAAAGCAGCACACTTACTGCCTGGAGGAGTTTCTAGCCAGCCACACTCTGGTCTGCTGGGTCAAAGAGAACCTGAAATGTGAGAGGAACAAAAACAAATATATTGTGTTTAGTTCTGCAGACGATGCCTGCCTGCTCACCTCTCTGCCCCCTTTAACAGATATGAGCGACGTGAAGGTGTACGTCGACTTAGCTTCCATATCTGCCGGAGAGAACGACACGGAGATCGACCAGGTGGCCTGTTTCCACGACGCGGTGATGGGCTACGGCCCTCTGCTCTACGCCCTCCCCGATCACGCCGGCTTTGAGGAGTTCATGAGTTGTGCTCAGCAGGTGTGGGACACCCAGAACAGAGACGAGAAACTGCCAGACAAATTGGTAATGACCTCTCCCGTGTCGCGGTAACATGAAGCCCCCCGATACTGTGGCGGAGTGATAACGAAGCCTTTGTTTTTCCAGAGAGAGTCGACTCGCTTGCTGAGCTGGCTGAAAGCACTGAAGGAGACCCACGGCTCTGTGGAGCAGTCCTCCCTCTCCCTGGCTTCTTCTATCAATGCTCACGGAGTTTATCACATCGGATGGTCTGCTCACAACACGGAGAAGGTCAGTCTGTCACTAAAGGATAAGTCAACAGAGAAGGGGCATTTAAAGGACCTGAGGAAAGAATATGGTCTTAGAACATTAAAATAAAAGAGACGTTGATCCGATAGTGAGAATATTTTTGGAATACGTGTTTGGCATTTTGATATCCGCTGGCAAAAAAACGCTCACAAGACGCTGGTTACTTCCTGAAACCCTCAAGATACACGAGTAGAGATAAAGTAAATGACATTCATCTTCTGGAAAGGTTTACTTTTTCTCTTCCTCTTGTGGGTCAAATATGTAAAACCCTTGATTCTTATTCTATTTTCTTTCAAGTCTCCCTCTGACGTATTTTCCATTGCTCTTGAGTGCACACTTAACCTACTTTGAATAACATGTGGATGGCAGAAGAAGGATAATTGCCCTTGTGCTGATATATGTTTTGTAATTTAAACTTTAAGTCAAAGATACCAAGATGTAGTGCCTTGCTGACTCAATTCGTTTTAATTATTTAAGATGTTTATGATTATTTATGACACTTGCTTGCAGAGATGTCTACAAAACATGGTGGCGGTCACAGTGACAAGCGGCTCAGAGGAGAAGCGCTACAAGCTGGAGGACCTGCTGGAGCTGCAGAACAAACTCATGCTCATGTCGTCCAAAGGGGAGCACGGCCGAGAGCAAGTCAACAGGTTCACAGAGGTTGGTGGCATTTATTAAAGACTGTGTTTTATGTAACTCTCTGCACAATGTACAGTGGCAAGAGGTTATTCAGAGGATGTTTGAACTACAGCGAATATGTGGTATGTCCACAGAAATCAATAAAAATGGATAAAAATGTTCTCATCCAACACCTCATTTTATTTTCTTAAGTGATTTAAATGACATTAAAAAGTAGCTCAGGGTGAATATTTTGTGATTTACGGTAGTTTTACAGTAACTTTATCATAAGGTGACCAGACGTCTTGGCTTGGACTATGGAGACTCCGTGGTGTTGTACACTCTAGCGAACGTTTTGAATATGTACGTTCTGCACAACGTGATTGATTGATGCCTTTATTCGCGATACGAAAGCTCAGAAAATCAACCTAACAAACGTATTAATCACACGAAGAAAAAAAGCGTGCAAAGGCCTCTAAGACCAAAGTGTGTGATCTTGTTTATCTTTTGAGATTAACTTTGTTAATCCTCACTCTCCTGCTCTCTAGGTGTTTGAAGGAGTTCAGCGACTGGGCACCATCCTTCTTCAGATGCAAACGTCTGGCAACATGCTGTTCAGGGATTGGCATGCTGAGGTCCAGTGCTGCCCACAACAGCAGCCATGCATCAAAGCCACCTTCTTATCCCTGCAGGGTAAAGAGATGGCGTACGATGGCGAGGTGACCGAGCGGCTGCAAACGCTGGCTCACTCCATGGATAGCTGCCAAGAGGAATGGCGCTCCTTCATCGGTGAGATGCGCTCCAACTTCAACTTGCTGAACCACTACACCTCAGAGCAGATGGTGTACCTGTGCCACTGGATACACAAAGTGTGTCACCGGCAGGCACCAGATCCTCCACAGTTATGGCTTTTGCTTTTTCCCATAAAGCCTCAGTGCACGCTAACTGATGTCAGAGTCGCTTACACTAATGCAGCAAGTCGGACCTCAAAGCCTGATGAACCAGAAGATGTTGAGTCTGACAACGAAGATCAATTGGTGTTCGTTTCTTCTTTGGACTTAACGCCAGCTTCACCAGAGCACGCCGAAGAGGACATGGAAGAGGCTCATAATTTGATGGAGTTTTCTTCAGAGGACGAAGATGATGGTGTAACGAAATGCGATGAGGATGGCGCAGAGGGCTCACTACTCGTTGAGGACAGTCTTGAAGAACTGTGGTGTAAATTCAAGGACGACATGCCGCAGTACCTCAATGAGTACTTGGACATTACGTCTCTGGCCCACTTCCTGTCGTGCCTCTCTGAAACAAACCATCAGCACATGATCAGGAACCTTCCCCCGATCCTCCAGGAGGGGAGGCCCAATCTTGTGCTTTGCCCCGATGTAGAAGTTTTCACCACCGTCCTGTCTTTTTACATGCAGAATCCAGAGCAGCCTCTGCCATCTACTGACGAGGTTCTAGTCTGCAGAGAGGAAACCACAGAGGAGGAGGTGGAGATCTTTCTCCGCCGAGCTCTCGGCCAAGGCGCCGCTAGAAACTGCCAGAAGATATACTCTCTCGTCAATCCAGGGCTGCTGGGATATGATGTCAGTGTGGCCTCAGGGGAGCTCTTCGAGGGCCTTCAGAGAAGCGGCAACCCGCATTATCGCTTGATCATAGTTAGTCCGGTTGAGCACCAGCACAGATATGTGCCCTCTTACTTTAGCAATGACAAAGTGCAGGCTGGTGTGAGTCTAACAGCAGAGACTGCTCGGAAATATCTACATCGCCACTTCACACAAAACACATCCCCACAAAGCACCGTCGCCCAGGTTTCTCCAGATCAGCTGTCAGTCTGGACGGTGTCATCTGTACGGCCTGCAGTTGGTAAGGGTGACCCTGAAAATGCTTAATGAATAGGGGTAGAATATGATTAGTTTGTAAAAACAGTGTTGTTTTGTTAATATAGTATATCGCGTAAAATCGTTACAAAATTAAATTAAACATAGGGGCATAGCATATTTTTCTTGACAGAATGCATTTTTTTTTCAATCAATAGGGAAATCCCTTTATGTGGATCGTTTGTTTGAGAAGTTCCAGTGGAAATCTCCCAGAGCAAATCATATCAGGATCAGACTGATTGAGCCATGTGTTGATATAGACTCTTTGATTAAGAGTCTATCGGAGAAACTGGCACCCTTGAGAGAGCAGGACCTTGTCCTCCTGCACATTGACACCGCTGGAGTAAGTATACATTCTCTGCAGATCACTTGTTCTGTCATTGCTTGTGCTTGACAGTCTTCTCCTGTCAGGTTCGTTCAGGTCTGGATGAGCTCCTGTTCCATCTGTTAGTTCTGGGCTGTTTGAGCGACAGCCATGGCATGCTGTGGAGAAGAAATGTCGCTCATTTGACCACCGTTGAAGTCCTGAGAACAAACAAATCCTCTCAAAACCAACCAAAAGAGGTATGTAAGGTTAGGTTAGGTTGTAAACAAATTCCCAAACCATAGAAATAGAGCTCGAGTAGAATTGACATTGTACTATTTTCCGGGGTACAAAAGAAAATAGAGTGTTGTAGCGGCTCTCCAGGAAACGCAGCACCAGGTACGGATGGCTGGCTAGTTAGCTAGTTAGCTTTTCCAGAGCAGCGAGAAGTGAGGCGGAGGGACTGTCAGTCCAAGTCCTGCCGCTGGACACCAGCCCGTGGTTGGGCTCATTATCTGGAACGAGTGTTGCATTAAAGCATTGTGGAATTAGCAAGCTTGGTAACTAGCCAGCTGCCTGCTAGATGGCTAGCTAGATTGTTAATTCCACCATGCCTTAATGCTACACTGGTTACATCATCTTGCGATAGCAATGGGCTTTCCTACGCTGTGACAAAAGTTTGGGTTGAAAGTTGGATGAAGCATGAAGTTTTCCTCTGGATATCTACGCCTCATAACGTTACTACTCTACTGCTGATTGTAGTTCTTACTGTAAAGCCTCAACTCAGTGAGTCCGCGACTTACAGTAAATTGGTTTAGGTTATATGGAAGTGAAATGGCTGTCGCTCTGACCATCCCACTGTTTATTTAAAAAGGAATGTCCGTTCTATTTTAATTATATAGCTAAACCAAATATAAGCATTAAAATGCATTGATATTTATATCCCATAATCCACACTTACCTGCTTGAATTAACTGGGGGTCCCATAGATCTCTGAATGCAATGCCTTAAATTTCACTTAATTAGCACGCATTGCTAAAATTATTAAAACAGTTTGGTCTGTTTTGTGTTGAGTAGCTTTGAAAGTTTCAGATTAGGAGGTTCTGCCCTTTTTTAATGTAAAGCAAAATTACAAAAATGACCTCAGGCTGCCATTGATTTTCTAAATCTGTGTTTAATTTGCTCACGCAGATGAAGCTTGGACTTCTTGATATTCTACCTACCATCAACTGTAGACCTCCAAAAGAGGTGAAGGAGTTGTTGGCCAGTAGTCGGGTGTTGTCAAAACAGACCTTCGATCCACTCATGGATGAGCAGGAGTTTTGCAGTGAGGGGGTTCAAAGACCCTATCAATACCTAAAGCTCTACAGCAAAAATCAGAATCTGGATTGTTTTAACTACCAGGAGGGATCCACAATGGGGGATCCCATCGATTGTGTCAATCAATTTCTGAAATACTGTGGAATGCAAGATCCATCTTGGGCTGAGCTGAAGAACTTCTCCTGGTTCCTCAATGTGCAACTGAAAGACTGTGAGAACTCAGTTTTCTGTGATCCAGATTATCTGGCAGACCAGCTGCCTGGTTTCAAGGGATTCATTGTGAAGTTCATGATTCTAATGTCACGAGATTTTGCCTCGCCATCTCTGAATACATCTGATGAAAGCCGCAAGCTACACATTGACAACAGTCTGGAGGATGACCTTCTTGCCCGTCTGACAATTCGTAAGCATTGGGAAAATGAGTCTCATCCGTACATTTTCTTTAATGCAGACCGATTCTCAATGTCTTTCCTCGGCTTTAATGTGATACGTCAGAGGCAAAACACACTCAATGCAGTTGATCCTCGAAGCCACAAGGTCCTGATAGAAAATGTGATGTCACAAAACCTTTTTCAGGGTTTGGAACGGCAAAGGATCTCTCTCACTGAAAACTTTGATAATTTGCCACGTCCTGACAAAATCAAAAGGATTTCCTGCGTTGTTGGTGCAAAGAAAGGAATAACGGACAGAACATTTGATCCAGACCGAACATATGAGCTCACTGCTGACAATGTGATGAAGATGTTGGCCATACACATGAGATTCCGGTGTGGAATTCCAGTTGTCATCATGGGAGAGACCGGCTGTGGGAAAACCAGATTAGTCCGTTTCCTGTGTGCTCTGCAGAGGGAAGACAAACCAGTGGAGAACATGGTACTTGTCAAGGTACATGGTGGAACAACCGCAGAGATGATCTACAGAAAGGTGAGGGAGGCCGAGATACTTGCCGCAAAGAACCGTAGAATGCACAAGCTGGACACCATTTTGTTCTTCGATGAAGGCAACACCACAGAGGCCATTTTTGCCATCAAGGAAATCCTGTGTGACCAATCAATGAAAGGGGAACCCCTGAAAGCAGACAGTGGCTTGAAAATAATAGTTGCTTGCAATCCTTACAGGAAGCACTCACCTGAAATGGTGAAACGTTTGGAACGTGCTGGTTTAGGATACAGGGTGAAGGCAGATGAAACAGAAGACCGCCTCGGCAAAGTCCCTCTGCGACAGCTGGTGTACAGGGTCCATCCTCTGCCTCCAAGCATGGCTTCTTTGGTGTGGGACTTTGGTCAGCTGAGTGATTCAACTGAACTTTCCTACATCAAACAGATTGTCCAGAAGCAAGTTGTCAACCATGGTTTGCCAGAGGTCTGCAAGGACATCATTTCAAATGTACTGGCAGACTCACAGAAATACATGCGAAGTCGGAAAAATGAGTGCAGTTTTGTGAGTCTCAGAGATGTGGAGAGGTCTATGAAAGTGCTAGTTTGGTTTTACCAGCATAGCGAGGTCCTTTTTAAGAACTGCTCTCATCTCAGTGAGGCTCATAAAGCACTGAAGTGCTTGATTCTTTCAGTTGGAGTCTGCTACTACCCATCTCTGGAAGACAAAGAGCATTACCTCTCTGTAATTTGTCAGTACTTCCCAGACCCTCTCTGCTATCCAATAGCATTGCAGGAAGAGATTTCATCCTGTCAGGACTTCTTTCTTCAGAACATTCAGACAAGGGCGACCATAGCCAAAAATGTTGCACTCAAAGAGAATGTGTTTCTCATGGTGGTTTGCATTGAGCTCAGGATCCCACTCTTTCTGGTTGGCAAGCCAGGCAGCTCTAAGTCGCTTGCAAAAACAGTGGTGGCTGATGCCATGCAGGGCCAGAACTCCCACTGTGAACTGTTCAAGAAACTCAAGCAAGTTCATATGGTTTCCTTCCAGTGCAGTCCTCACTCAAGTCCGGAAGGCATCATAGGGACATTCAAGAACTGTGCCCGTTTCCAGAAGGACAAAAACATGGACGAGTATGTATCTGTGGTGGTGCTTGATGAGATAGGACTCGCAGAAGATTCTCCTCAGATGCCCCTGAAGACCCTCCATCCTCTCTTGGAGGATGGTTGCATTGACAATGACAAGCCAGATCCACACATGAAAGTCGGCTTTGTTGGCATTTCCAACTGGGCTCTTGACCCAGCAAAGATGAACAGAGGAATATTTGTGTCGAGATGGGATCCGAGTGAGGATGAACTTGTGGAAACTGCCAAGGGAATTTGTTCATCTTCAAACCAAATTCTCCTGCAAATCAAACACCTGTTCCCATCTTTGGCAAAGGCCTTCTTGAGCATATGTAAGGAGACCACAAAGAATCAGTTCTTTGGTCTAAGGGATTATTACAGCCTCGTCAAAATGCTCTTTGCCGTGGTCAAATCAACGCAACAAGAGCCAGATGGTGGACACTTGGTAGAGGCCATCTTGCGTAACTTCAGTGGACAACCAGAGGGTTTTGACCCTGTCATATTTTTCCAAGAGGTTCTCCAAAACTTAACGGAAATTCCCAGACCAAGCACCTTGCAAATGGTGAAAAAGAATCTTGACCTTGACGCCAACCAGGAGAGCCGTTACCTCCTTTTGCTGACTACCAACAATGCAGCTCTCCATATCCTTCAGCAACAAATCTTTGCCAAAGGAGACAATCCACCGCCTGAAATAATCTTTGGCTCGGGATTCCCAAAGGACCAGGAATATGCCCAAATCTGCCGTAACGTTAACCGGGTGAAAACGTGCATGGAGACCGGGCGTACTGCCATCCTCCTCAACATGCAAAATCTTTACGAAAGCTTGTACGATGCCTTGAACCAGTACTATGTTTACCTCAGTAAGCAGCAGTACGTTGATCTCGGTCTCGGCTCCCACAGAGTCAAATGTCGTGTCCATACAAACTTTAGACTGGTGGTAGTAGAGGACCAGAAGAAAGTATATGAGCACTTTCCCATGCCCCTCATCAACAGGCTTGAAAAACACAGGGTGGATAGGAGTACCGACCTGGAACCGTGGCAGCACAGGGTTCTCCACAAACTGAAGGAGTGGGTAGAGGAATTCTTAGGTGAGGCCTCAGCAGATTTCAAACAATCTGACATTTTTGTCGGCTACCATGGCGATGCCTGTGCCAGCGCTCTCTTACAAGCACTGGAAAGGAGAGCACAAAAAGTTGAAGCCGGTGCAGTAAGACAACAGCAACAGAATGAAAAAGATGACTCACTGGAAGAAGATGAACCAAACAAAATACTTGAGTCAAATTCCAACGAACAGAAAGAGGTAGCTGATGAAGAGGACGATCAGTTGGGTGATGCGATAGACACAGAGATTGATGGAAAAGAACATATGTCAATGGACATATGTGACGAGAACAAAGTGATGTCCGAGAGCGAAGAATTGATGGAGACGGAAGTTGCTGCTGGTGAAAACGAGGAAGAAGAGATCTTTGATTTAGCAAAATGTCTCCTATTGAACTGTGCCACCCCTGACGCTGTTGTGAGGCTCAAGTATTCAGATTTCGCAAACCAAGAGAAGGAGAAACTCCAGAGAATGTATTTCCAGCATCAGCATCACCATTCCCTCCGAAATTTCCTGGAAGATTGCCTGAACAAGCATCAGGGGTCCAGCAAGTTTCTAGAGGTAGGCCACAAACTACTGCTCCAATTTTGTTTTTGCCACTTGTTTAAAATCTTTACAAATTGTTGATGCCACTGTCCGCTTTGTGGGTTTTCACAGATAACTACATTCTCAAGCTTGCTAACCAGATCGGATGTCAGGGTTGTTGCCCCTGCTCTAGGACTGCATAAGGAGAGGATCCTCCTTCTCTCGCTCCACCAGTTTGACACTGAGGTCTCCTTCTGCAACAAGATAAGGTACTAACTATTTGGATAACAGGAGCATGGCTTTTTAAATTATAATTTTGTCTTTAAATCTTTCTCTTACTCTCCTTTCTGTGTCAGGGGCTTCCTTCAAGATGCTGGCCCCTCTCTTCGCATCCTGTTAATCCAGATGGACCTCGAGGAATCCCACTGCAGTGATGAGCTCATAGCATCAGCAAAGTAGGGCTCAATGACAACATCCTGAACAGATTGCAATATGATTTTATGCATGTTCCGTGAAAAAAAAGTACATTTCAGGTGTTTCAGATCAGATGTGTTTATGATTTCATCTGCCTCTAGATATTGCACCATGAACTACTTGATGTCACTGGAGGATCAGACCTGTTGGGTGATTTTCATTGTGAAGGTTTCTAGGTTCACAAGCAAATCTCAGTACATCGGTTTCCAAGGAGGTGAGTACTACGTGTAATATGATGTTTATTGCAATGCAATTGATCCTTTGCTAAGCCCCACCCCTCGAACGCAGACTGGCCAATCAAAGCGTAGCATTGGCCATCTTTGACCAGAGTCCGACAACTATCCAGTTCTGCTCCACAGACTCTCATGCCAACATAAAAACCTGTGGAGCTAACATTAGCAGGGTACGTTAGCACACCATAAACTAGCATTAGCACTTCTATTCTATGCTAGCTACTGAAGGTATACTGAATGTAAACACATGCTGCTTTTGCAGCGTTGCAGTGTTGTTCCTTAATTTCATTGTCTTTTGTTTGGATGTCCAGGTGATGTAGTGGTTCACTTTTACACTGTAAGCTGTAGCTTTAGCTTCTATCTTTATCGATTTAACCTGTTTTCACTGCTGAATCAGTTTGACATGCTGAATATATCCTTCAAAAACATACTGTAGACCCTTCTGTCTGCTTCTCTCTGAAATACATTTTTAGTTTTTCCCAAGACTAGATGATATTTATTCAGGGAGTGCAGTTAGTGACAGTGTGGGCTCCATGGTAATGTAGCTCTGACAGCTTGACGGTGTAGCAGCGGGCTTAATGGAGGGTCAATTATTTGTTGACTACATTAAACTTGACTTATAACAAGACTTAAGGAACATTTTGTCTTTCGCACCGAAGGAATCTGGCACTCCGTGCACATTGATGACCTGAGGGATTCAGAGGACATGAGCCTGAACCTCTTGGTTTTCTGTGGAACTCTCATCAGCAACCTACTCCACCCTGCACTGTCAGGTAGAAGCTATTCATCATCTGGTCACTACCAAGTGTGTTGTATTACAAATGGGAAAGAAAGTGGTTTTACTGTTCTCTAGGCTAATTTGTACTTTAAAATAAACCATATGTTTTTACTTTAATAGGACACCATGACGATGAAGAAACTGCAAGGACAAGTAGAGACTCTCAGGTAGATACAAAAGTGAGTTTAAAAGTAAATAAATGTTCCTTTATATGCGTTAGCGTAAAAATGTAACTGTGTTTGCGTACAGGGAGATAGAGCCCACCTCCACAGCCTTGCCTTAGTGACATCATGTATCCAAAAAGCTGTGGGTTTGCTGAGGGACCCCGATGGCGTGACATCGCGAAGCATGCAGCGGGTGCACATCCTTCTGACTCTTCTGGGAGCTGGTCAAGTGCAAACAGGAGGTAAATATAGATATATATCATCTGAGAATAAGTTTTGTTTGCACATTTACCAGAATGTATCTGCAGGTGTGACATGGTTTGTTGATTATTTCTAATCACTTTCTTTGTGAATTACTCATTTTGTCCGTAATAAGCAAACATCTGACTCTGATGTAGGAGTAAATACACACTTCTTGCATCCCTCATTTGTGTCTGATATATGTTAACTATATACTGTATTGAAGCTCACTTTCAGGAGGTGTTGTTGAGTAGACTGGCCGAGGCTTTGAAACAGACAGAAGAAATGATGGGCTCTCCTAAGGAGTGGGTGAGCAAAGAAGCCATGAAACGCCAGGCTCTGCAGGAGGGGGGAACTCTGAGGTAAAGTTAACTTGGAAACGTTTTAATAAAGATTAATGTACTGGATCGAGTGATTTGTTTTGGTATGGCTTTGGCTCCAGTTTTGGATCTTAGTATTTCTTTCTGCACATTGGTGCTTCATGTGCATTCTTTAAGTGTTTCTAGTTGATGATTTGATGAAGTAGAGCTTTCTTTTGCATCTTTAACTGACAGATACACCCTGTGGCGCCGTCTTCAGTCCATCGTGACTCCAATCTTGGCCAACATGTTGGAAGTTATGGACAGGTTTGCAAACCTGGACCTGCTGTCTGATGACAGACTCAGCCAGGGCCTGATAAAGCTGTGGTTGGACATCCTGTCAGATTCACAGATTTTAGGCCTAACACCTCTTCAAAACTCAAGGTATTAAGGGTAACTTGTTCTGTCTAATTCCCACGGTTCCCAGATTTTGGGCTGTTTAGCTTCCATAACACGTCTTCTTTCAGACTAATGAAAAGAAAACATCCCAAATACATATTTAGGTGTTTATTTTACTACTTTTGTTTATTTGCGTCTGTAGATTTCTCCTAAATTCACCAAAAGTTACCATTAGATAATACCTCATTTGCATATTTAAACACAACATTTCAAAAAACTTGTAATACAAAAAACAATCGTCTTAATGTGAGTGATGAAGTGGTGAAGTTTCATGGTGATATCTATGAGTTCATGTGTTCACCTGTAGAGTCTCTAAATGTCTGTAATGGAACTAAACGTCTCTTTAAAGGACGTTTCCTCTAAATGAGTTTGTTCTCAGACTCTGATGATAAATCTCCACTTCAGCAGCTCTTACATTCACCAAACTTCACTCGTTCATTCCTCTCTGTGTGCTGAAGGTTCACACAGAGGGGTTAGTTCACACACCACTCACACACTCATTTATACTACATTTTATGGATTTTTGACTGTTGACAGTTTTTTATTTATTTATGGAGTTATATCCAAATTTTCTCCTGTAAAAATGTTTGACTGTAATATGTCAACAAACTGAAACAATACTTTTGAACCTGGCCTTATCCAATGTTCAGATTTCTGTTCTGGAAATGTGTGCAAATTAGTACATATTTGATTTTAAAAAGCCTAATTTCAGAGAACTTGTAATACAAGTAATAATTGTCTTAGTAAAGTAAGTAATCAACTGGGGGAGTTTCATGGTGATGTCTGTTAGTTGTTTTTTCAACCAAAGGCATACTTTTTCTGCACTTGTTATAATCTCCAGTGAGTCAGACCAGGAGGTGCCGGTGCATCACTACTTCATGCTGGATGGTGAAGAACGATCCTGCGCTGCTCCGTTCAGCTGGCTCGTCAGGATTCACCTTGAAGGCTTGTGGGAAGAATCAGAATTCATGCCAGGTTTGCCTTCATCTTAGACTTTTCTACACACTACTGTATATATATAATCTCTATTCTACGATGAGCAGATACAGTATATATAGTATGGTCACAAATGTTTTTATGACTTGTTCCTCAGTAACAACAGAGGATGGCACAGGGAGGATTCTGCAGTTTGTGAGCACCTTCTCCAGTAGCCAGCTGGGCGGTCACTTACAGAACCTCTCTGACGAGGATCGATGGGAGTACGGACAGCTCTACCTCCAAGACTTCCTGCTGCTCTCTCTGAAGATCAAGTCAAATGACGAGCTGAGGGTACCGACGCTTTGAACCTCACATTTAGGTGAAACGTATTTTGGGGAACTGCCGGTAATAATCTCGACTTCTTGTCCAGGTGTTCTCCAGGGCCATGTTGGGCTGCGTGTCCGACCTCCAGACCTCCGTGGGTGTCGCCGCGGAGCTCTCGCCTGCTTGGATAATGGCTGCTGCCAAACACTTTGCCCCCCGACTGGATTCTCTCAGCCACATGTTTCTGCTGCAGCCCCAGCTAGCCACCGATGTCGCTCAGCAGGGGTCGAATAGGGAGCCCCGAGAAATGGTGAGAACAATTTAGATGTTTTTTTTAGTTGTTAGCTGAATTGTAGTATTTGTTGAAATATGAAGTGGGTTGGAAGCACAGCTGCTGAGACACTTGTGTGTAGCTACTTTCCTTACTGAGGAGTTGGCAACACTGTGTGGAATCTCTGTAACTTTTTCACCCTGAGCTAACATGCTAAACATTGGCATAGACCTTAGTTGTGAGATCTAAAAACGTCGATGTTTTGCAGGTGGAGGACATTGGAGCGCTTGGTGTCTGTGTTGAACAGACCAAACTGCTGACCGTGACGTCGCTGCAGGAGTGCGAGTCCTTCGTGAGCAGAGTGGAGTTTCTGCAGCCGTGTCTGGACCGAGTGTTTGGTCAGAAATACAGAACCCTCTGCAGCGCCGGCTGTCTGCAGCATCTGGACTCCATCAGGTGAGTCTGTCACAATGTGCAGCAGGAATAAATCATGTTTTTTTGTGTTTTAAAGTTTTTTGATAACCTCTTTGCTGTTTCAGGTCGCTGTGGCACGGGATGCTGGTTGTTGCATCTTTCATCCAGCACGTCATCTTCAGAGTGAAACAGAAAGACTCAAGGTTGAGAGAACTGGCTCTGAAACACTGCAACCTTCACCTGAGCGTAAGTGTTTTCATCTTGACAGAAAGAGGTTTCCCTCCAGGAAATGTTTTGGTGGAGGTTGTAAGCCTCCCAGATCCTGACGCATCTCTTCTCATGATCGATGAGTTAGCTGCTAGTAATTCAGCTGAGGTGGCCTCTCTCCATGAGACAACGGGCCCCACCACCTCTCCTACACAGGAGCAAGACACACAGACTATAGTGATTAAGCCTCTTTTTGTAGTTGTTTTGTGTCGATTTGAAATTGTTGTTACGCGTCTGTCTGTTCATTTTGCATCTCTTTGTGGTTGTTTTGCGTCTCTTTTTAGTGATTTTGTATCTCTGTAGTCCTTTTGTGTATCTTTTGTGTCTATTTGTGTTGGAGTTTTTTGTAGTTTTTTTGTGTCTTTAAGGGTCACTTGGGTCTCTTCCTGGTCTGTACGTGTCTCCTTGAGTGATATTTAAGTGCAGAAGAACCAGAAAGGATCAGTAAAGTATTTCTTACTAAAAACAGGAAACATAGTGAACAACAGAAGTCAAATGTTTCGGTAGTTGTCGGCGGTCAGACGGGAGAAAACAAGACCTCAGATTACTTTTTCTCTCATTTACTAACAGCTGATGCAGGAGTCCCCTGATGTGAGGAGCGTGGACACACTACAGCAGCTGATCCGGATCCTCAATTCTTTTCATGATGAGAGTATCGGCCGAGATCTGAGGTCAGAATATCAATAATAACAATAAATACCACTAGAATCTCTTATTTTATTATCTCACAGTCTAATATTAAATCTCTCCCGTGATATTTTGAAGGTTGGGCATTTCCTGCCCGGTTTGCCTGTCGGGGTTAACAGATCCGGCCGTCCTGCCCTGCCAGCACGTCTTCTGTTTGCTGTGTCTCCAACGCTGCATTCAGGAGCAAAGACGTTGTCCTAAATGCAGGACAGGCCTGCCACCCGACTTCACGCCGACTGTTTCTCCCACCGTCAAGTGAGTTCAGACAAATGTGTCCGTTAAATGTTGAGGCGTCTGGCTGTCCGACGCTGTCCTTCAGCTTTCATGGTGACTTTTCTCTTCGTGGTTCAGGGCGGCGCTTCAGAAGCAAGCAGTGGTCAGGGACTGCTGTAACTCCTACTTCCTGGAGGTGGTGTCCAGGTTCTGTCTCTCAGAGGGACAGACGCCCGGAGACGGAGTGGTGGAGCTGCTCTTCTCCCTGCTCGTCTCCGCTAACGGTCAGTGGGGGAGTAAGTCGATGAGGATAACTGATGATCGATGATGCTGCGATGATAACACAGTCGGCCTCCTTGTGTTCTTGTTGTGCGATGCAGGAGACGTGTACAGGACCAGAGAGCTCACTCCCTTCCTGGAGTGTGTGGATAACAGTCCAGTGGTGCGATCCGTGCTGCCAAAACTGCTGCTGCAGCACAGGTGATTTCATAGTCTCAGATCAGCTGAAGGGTCATGAGCTTCTCTACAGGTAGATTATCATAAAGCCTCGTGGAGAGCTGCTCACTCAACAGCAATAATAACAATAAGAGAAGTGGAGGAATGAGTCCAAAACAGGTCTTCTAAAACGTGTCCAAGTGACCACCTTCCCAAATAAATAAGAAATAAACATAACATGATCAAAATAATCTGTAGATATGTATTAGGCGTCTGTCAGCTGTACTGACCAAAATACATACCCATCACTGCTATTATGATCCAGATGTAATGTATTTAGGGTCATAGTCCTCACTTCTTTTAAACTTAATCTAATTTAAACTAATTTGGCAGTACTCTGTGGCCCACTAGATGGCGCTCTAAGCCCCACCAGTGGTTGAGAATAGCTGCACTCCTCAGTTTACTCACCTAGTTTCACTTGATGCCTGTGGGATCATTATTTATGTTTACAGATGTTCATGGTTGTTTCTATCAGTTTTGAGCAGGTGAAGACTCACATTCAGACCTACCTGAAGAACCTGGAGGAGAATCTTCTGACCAGAGAAGACCGCACTGAACTCTACCTGCTGTTTGTCAACTGCTTCCAGGTAAAAGTCCATTTGTCCTCCATCTTTGACGTGATGAGGATCCTTCTTGTTGCTTTACTTTGGCTTCATCTTTGGTGCTAATGCCTACTTGTTAAAAACATCTATTTACACACAATCAAACGCCATCACTTGTCATTGATAAAGTTATTACTTTTTCCAGGACTCTCTGTTGTGCTCAGAAGCGAGAGGAGCGGAACAGAGCGGAGGTCAGCAGAGACGAGCGGAGACAGTGTTCCTGAGCAGCGTCGCCAGTAAACAGACTCCAGACAGACAACAGGACCCAGCAGAGTTCCTGCTCAACGTCGCCAGACTGAGACTGTGTCTGAGCTCTGCTGCCCGGCTGCTGCAGGAGGCCGCGGCTCAAGGTGGGAAACTTCTGTTAAAGTGACATGTGATGCATGTGGTTTTGAAAGGGAAATAAAGCGCCGTGTTTCCTGGTGACATGCAGGCAGACCTGCAGGCGTGGAGGCTCAGTACCTGCAGCAGGTGAAGGCGGTGTGTGAGAGCCGTGCTAACGACTGGCACAGGGTTTACCTGCTGCGAGCCCTCCACAGGCTCTCAGGTGTGGACTGCATTCTGTCCATGATGAACAACCCGGCCTGGAGATGGCTGTTCCCTCCAGACCTGCTTCGACTTCAGGTAGAGACAAACACCGAGCAGCCAAAGTGTTCTCACACTTCACTGTCATGAGAGAAAAATCTAAATTTAAAGTGTGTCAGCACTTTGACCTGTTGAATTTACAGACGGCTTATTATTATCTTCAGTTTTGAGTAATTTTGTGATCGTTTGCTGGATGAATCGTTTGTCTATAAAATGTCTGAAAATAGAGAGAAATGTCAAAAATGTAATCACCAAAATTCAAATATTATCAATTTACTATCAGAGAAATCTGGCAGATATTCCAAAGTGAGAAGATCATTTTTCTGGCATTTGTGCTGAAAAAATGACAAAATAGATTATCAAAATAGTTAATAATTATGTTTTTTTTCATAAACTTAAATGAATAATTACTTCAACTCATGCCATCAGTTAATGTAAACTAAGCTTTTTAGAGCACAATGTACAATGTGTTACATACCATGGAACTCTTAACGGCTATGAACTAAAAATAAGATCCATACGCTGGAACTGATGACTATGCAAACAGGATTTTCCATCTAAATCACTCAAATATATTTTTTTCTACACAGAGGATCATTCCAACTCACGTGGACCAGTTCCTCTGCTGCGGGGCGCCGTACCGAGCCATGAGAGACGCTGTGGGCCACGTTCTGCTGGAGAACAGATCGGACTCCTTCATGACACAAATATGGGTCAGAGAGACTCCACGGCTGAAATAATATTATTCATAATAAACTATGAAGATGTTTAGTTCATCTAGTTTGTGAGTAGCATGCTCTGTTTAGAGGAGAAAAGACGAATTAATCATCCGGATGCTGTCATGGCTCCTAACGACCACTAGAGGTTGTTTAGCATTCATAAGCACTATACAAACATTTAATAAATGGCTATTAACACACTTTATGTAGTTGCACACATATAAGAGGACATTTTGTTATATTTGATAATATGTATTACTACTATGACGAGTGATAAATGTTATTTATATTCATTATTTGTTTATGCACCAGCCTCCACTTATGGATGTCCTCATGCAGGGTGAGATTTGCCCTCTGGTTTAAGATTCAAATATAAATGCATTGCATTGGTAGTTCATGTTCTGAAACAGTTTTACTTGAATTATTCTTTAAATGTTATTTTAGCAGCTGCAAGAATTAGGCTTCATCATCTTTATGGTACATTTGTTTCAAGTGGCAGTTAAAGATGTTAATACATGAATGAACTATTCTATCTGCTTACAACTAGATTATAAATGTTATAAACCATCTAATAAATGTTGCTTATAAATGCTGAATATGTCTGTTGGGTGCTTCCCATTTGAAACAATAACTGGTAAGAGTTTTTTAAATTCTGTCTGGTTTAGATGACATCATCTTGATGTGTTTTCTGTGTTTCTATTGTGTTTTATTTTCTGTGTAGAAGCTGAGCGGTTCTCAGATCAGTCTGCTGGGCCTGGCCTTATTCAGACAGGTCACCTGTCGCTACAAATCACCTGACGTCAGCATGCTTCCCTCCCCTCAGGTCAGAATACATGATGTCATCATGTTGAATGTGTCAGAAGTAGATTTACGTTCTTTGGTTGTGTTTTAAACACGTGGCTCTACATGACCTCACAGGAGCTGGCGAAGCTGGAGGAGCTCCTGAAGAAGGTCAAGTCGGTGGAGTTCAGGGAGTTCTGCACTGCGCTTCTGTCAAATCACATCGGCGGACCGCGCTCGTGTCTCCGCATCGACGCGCATCTTTCTGCCCAGAGACAAACCGTCCTGGAGCTGCTGGTCCACCTGGACTCTGTGCTCCTCAGTGGAAACCCTCTGCTGGTTCCTCTTCATCAGATCGCCTCCCAGCCTCAGAATGTTACAGTAAGACACTTCTTATCTTTACTTAAAGGAGGTTCTTCAAAACCTGAACCGTCCCTCTTGCTGTGAGGCGACCGTGCTCATTATAAATATCTTACTCCATGAATGTAGCACATTAACTCAACTCACTTTTCCCTCCTAGAACTCCTTCCTGCCAACCATGCCCGATGATCACATGAGTGAAGTCAGACAGTGGTTGACGAAAGAACAAAGGGTACAGCTGTACTGTAAGTATTTTACAGTGTAAAGGATTTATTTTACCATCACTTCTCTCTAAACTGGCCATCATGTTATAAATATAATGTGTTTGACATCTTTACAGCCTGCGCTAATGGACATCCCTACGTTGTGACAGAGGTATGAGCTGTTTCCCTCCAAACAGGGTTTCATTAATAATAGAGAAGTTCAATAAATGATACATTTAATGCTCCTCTATTGTCCCATAGTGTGGCAGACCGGTGGTTAAAGAAAAATGCCAAGTGTGTGGAGTCCCAATTGGTGGGGTGAATCACAACCCAGTAACAGGATTTACTCCAATACAAAGGTATGAATCTCTTCAGTCATCCAGCTTTGTGCCGGTACTTTCAGTCAAATATTTAATTATTATTCCTCCTCGTTTGCATAAAGTGTCAGGGATCAAACGCGGACAGGACACATCTTAGGAGACGCTGACCAGAGGTCTGAAGCCCCAGAGAGACAGATGACGTACGCTAAGTCCTGCATCCTGCGGCTGCTCACACACCTCGCCATGCTTCAGGGCGCAATGACTAATGACAGAGTGAGACTTTGCACCAGATATTATATCAGTGGTATTGAAACGATGGCATTGTTTAATGATACTCCTGTGGTGGTTTGTTGTAGGGAGTTGGTGACATGATCCACCCGAGGCCCCATGCCGTCCTCAACTTCCTGTGGAGACACCTTGAAAAGGACCTGCGTGTGCTGGGCCAGGCGCTGGATCAGAACACGGACAACACAGCGGTTACCCTTCATCTGATTCTCAATACATGCGCAGAGTCTCCAGGTGATACTAAGTTTACCAACGATTTTCAGCTCGCTGCTTTTAATATTCATGGAGAAAAGAAAGTGACATAACTCTGCTGAATGTTAACAAAGGTTCCCGCGGAGCGAATCAGGATCTGTCCTCCAAACAAGGACGGCAGCGCTGGGAGAAGCTCGTCTGTGATTCTGCCATCAACCCAGTACTTCAAGTGAGGAATACGATGTATTTGAGGAGTAACTCACTACTTATTGGTGCCTCTGCCCTCTAATTACAAAGTAAAAACTCCTTTAGAATGTGAAAAAGTGTTAACATGGCCGACGCCATGCAGATGCTCGAACCCGACACATGCTCGGCTTCTTCTAGTTACCGTCCTGGTGTCCAAGAAGAAGAGAGACAATGTTCGGCTTTAATCCAGCTTCTCACGAAAGGCACTGGATCACATTTGTCCAATTAGGTCGCCTTGCTTCCTGCAACCTGTTGCATCTCTGGCTGTGTCATTTTACGGTGGAAAACACATTATAAAACCTAAGGAATCAGTGTTGATTACTGATTATCTGGTGATTCCAATCCTTAATTTGGACCTGAATCCATCAAAACATTACTAAATACTCATATGTATTGGTTTTCAGCTGAACTAAGTGGTTAGTTACACTTTAAAGCAGCGCATTGATTGCTGTAACTGGATTTAATACTTCAAAAGTAAGATGTTTTGTGTGACAGGGTGATGGAAGCTTGTTTCTTCTGTTTGCAGCGTTTGCAGAAGAATCTGGCCGAAGCTCAGGACAGAATCGGTGGTGACGACGGACTTGCTGGAAGTCCCCTGATGACTCTCCTCTTCAGCGATCCGGGGACCATGTTGTCCCTCCCCTCCGACTGCCCGACACATCGCTCCTCCTTCTGGACTCTGCCGGAGTTGATGACGGTGGAGCGCTTCACTCAGCTGGTGGGAGAAGCACAGGGACGCAGCTCCTTACCCCTGCTGAGCCTGTTCCTCAAGAAGGTACGATCCTCATCAGGGGCCATGTGACATCCTTTTACTGGGACCCAGTGGAGGATAAGTAGGCACCGACACCTCCGTACACCAGATCTGTTTTAAATCCTGATCTGAGGGGTCGTGAAGACTGATGGCACGAAACATCCACTTAGCTATCAGGACGACCTCCAACCCGATTATTTAAATACGTTATTTGAATAAAAGAAATAGTTTAGAAGCTTAATCTGCATCTAGATTTGTATTTGCATCAAAATCACAATAATAGATTTTTGTAGAATACATAAATCCTGGCCAGGAATATTGGGGCAAGAATATAATACACTTCAAACCAGGACCTCTGAGGTTTCAGTGCCACCTATAACTCAAAATACAATCACATTTGGTCGGATCTCTCACTGAAAAATGTGTGTAAGTTTAACAAACAAATATCTTAAAATACCAAATAAAACACATTTTTTGAAGATTGGATGAAATTTTGAATGTTAAAAACTGTTTTGCAAAAAAAAAAGAAAGAAATCACATGACGGTGTTAAACCAAAGCATCCTGGAAAACGTTCAGCTTCTACACTTTACATTTCAACAAGTGATTTCTAAATGGCCACATGCAGCTCTCCTTAAACTCATGTTGTGTAATTTCTCAGTGAATATGAATGCGTGTTTAATCACTACAGATGGTCATAATAACACAAGTTATTATGTGTTTGACATGCGCTGACTCTGCTCGTCCCACAGATTCGCTGTGTGAGGCGGCTCCGTCACTTACCTGAGCTGGCTGCGTTACAGTCCGACCTGCTGAGGGCCTTTCCTCTGACCTCACACTCTGCAGATCAGACCGTTGCTCAGATGTTACAGAGGATACCTGCAGGTATGTCGACGTTTTAATGTATCATTGAACGAACAACAACAACCACGAAACAGGGACACGCGCACTGAGCTTTCTCGTTATCCTCGTCAGGATACCAGAAGAAGATGCTGCTGGAGAGAGTGGAGACGTTCATGGAGGTGTGGAACAGCCTCAGAGCCGAGGTGGCCAACAGCTGTAAGCATTTAACTCTGATGTGTGAATGTACAGCTGCTCCTCTGTTGAACATGTGTTGATCTGTCAAAAGAAACAACAATCAGCCACTTCTACCAACGTTAGTACTGTGAATATTACAGCTACTTCTTCTACTAATATAACACTAACAATATCAATAGCCTTAAGCTATTGAGCCCTATTCTAAGATGAAGTTACTACGTGATTTACAAGATCAAATCAAAAGTGTTCATTCATTGAAAACTATGCAATAAAGTTATGATTTTAAAAGCAATTTCTACAGCAATTTGAATAACAGTAATTGTTAGATTTATTATTGTTAAACGGTGATTAACAGCAGTGTTTAACGTAAACAGTGTGAAGTCTTCAGTGTTTGGTTTCATAGTAATTAGGGAAATTAATAATAATTAGCTAAATCAGAATGAATTGAGAGTAAAACTAATTGTTTAATTGAACTGGTGTGAAAGCAGAAGCTCACTCCTCCGTGTAGAGCAGTGATTGGTTGTATTTTATTATTTATTTGCGTCATTGACTGTCTCTAACGCCTGTGTGTGTATTTACAGCAGCAGACTCGAGTGTGGATGTGAACCTGACAGCCGAGAGCTCTGCCGAGCTTCTGACTCCGTCCCGACACGGACCGGGGTCGTGTCTCCGGACTCTGGTGGACTTCCTGTCGGAGACTCACAACAGCCTGGTGAGAGCGAGCCGCCAAGAGGACAGGTCGGTACACCCGGGGGTCAAAGTGTGAGGGCTGCTGGGTTTTTAAGAATGAGGATGAAAATACAATCGCAGGGTCCATCGAGCAAAACCGTTAAATATAAAAGATACTTACTTGAAATTGAAAGCACCAGCTGACCGTCTAGTGTTCTTCTGAAAGCTTCTTATGCGTCTCGCAAAGTTGTCTTAAACTGGTAAAAAATCTGAAGCTTGCAAAACTTATGGAGTTTGACAGCAGTTGGCCATCAGTATTAATTCAAGGTCGGTTTACTCGCTTGTTCTGGAGCTTTCGACCATTTCACACGGTCTTCAGCAGCAGATTCAGTGAAGGATCCAGGATTCTCCAAAAAGTCTCATGATCCTGAGCACTGCTTTGACTGAGTTGAGCGTCAAAGAATCCGCTGATGAAGCGCATTTAACATGGTCGAAAGCTCCAGAACAAGCGAGTACGTGGACCTTGAGTTTAGGTTGTTTTGTCAAAACAATTGAATGCTGAGTGAAACACATTGCTCTGTACCAGTGGTCATAAAAGATCCTTGAATCGTGTACTTTAGGCTCACGCATGTGTACTTTAGACTCACGCATGTGTACTTTAGACTCACGCACGTGTACTTTAGGCTCACGCATGTGTACTTTAGACTCACGCATGTGTACTTTAGGCTCACGCACGTATACTTTAGGCTCACGCACGTGTACTTTAGGCTCACGCACGTGTACTTTAGGCTCACGCACGTGTACTTTAGACTCACGCACGTGTACTTTAGGCTCACGCACGTGTACTTTAGACTCACGCACGTGTACTTTAGGCTCACGCACGTGTACTTTAGACTCACGCACGTGTACTTTAGGCTCACGCAGATATACTTTAGACTCACGCACGTGTACTTTAGACTCACGCACGTATACTTTAGACTCACGCACGTGTACTTTAGACTCACGCACGTGTACTT